AAAGAGCTATCTCACAGATGCTCAGTTTGGGATATGCAACTCACTCCTTGTTTCAAACCAAGGTGTTTGGTACCATTTGGCTGAATGGGGCTGAGCTGCAGTTCAGTGAGCAATATATGACTAGGTCAATGTAGTAGAGTCTTCTCAATGCTGTGACAGGCCAAAAACATTGAAAGAAATTTACAATCTTTGGCACGCTCAAGCTCATAATGTCATTGAGAGAATATTTTGGGTTCCCAAGAGGTGTTTCACAATACTTATTAAGAATGTGCTCAAGGGTCGTATCCAAAGGGCTTGGCTTCAGCTCATGCACTGCGCCCCTTACCCGAGTACGTGCCCCTAACTTCCGAGGACTAACAGATGATGTCTGGAGTCCGATGCGCAGTGTAGCACTCGGATCGGCATTGGGCTTGTATCCTGCATCAGGAAAAAGGGATTTTGCCATTTTTGGCTTTATATTCAAATAGAGCCACAATGGGCTATATTTGAATATATGTATGCTATAGTTGCAACTTGAATAATATTATAGTTAGATTCTTTAGGAAAAAGGGTATTTGCTCATTTGATGTATCTAAATCTGCAATTATAGTAACTATAGTTGATTGTAGTTGGCTGTAGTCAGCTTTTCGTCGGAAAAAGTTCCCACGGTCAAAGTGCTTTCTTGAACCATCCACTTTCGAGTATTTTGCTTACAACTCACTAGGATCTTAACCTATTGATGTCATAAGACTATGGATAGACTTTCCTTGACAAGGGCTATGACTTTGATTTTCATCGGAAAAGTTCCCACGGTCAAGGTGCTTTCTTGAACTGTCCACTTTTGAGTATTTTGCTTATAACTCACTAGGATCTTAACCTATTGATGTCATAAGACTATGGATAGACTTTCCTTGACAAGGGCTATAACTTTGATTTTCATCGGAAAATGTTCCCACGGTCAAGTAAGCAAAATGCGAAAATTCACCAAGTCAAAATTCACTAAGTCTTGTGATGTGGCTTTGTTTGGCACAGCTTATATAAGCAAAAGTGCGGTCAACCACAAGTCTTTTCCTATCTTTTCCTTCCTTTCCCTCCTCCTCATTCTCCTTCTAGTCAATAATTTTCGCATTTTTGAGTATTTGGTAAGTCTTTTCTTCTTCTTTTCCTTCCCTCTCTGACCCTCTCCTTCTAGCTCCTTCTTCCTTCCCTCCTCCTCCTCCTCCTACTCAATCATTTTTACATTTTTGACCATTTGGTAAGTCTTTCTCTCTTCTTCCTCTTCCCTCTCTGACACCCCTTCTTCTAGCTCCTCATTTTCGCACTTTTGAGTATTTGGCGAGTCTCCTCCTCTTCTTCTTCTTCTTCCCTCTCTGATACCCCTTCTAGCTGCTCCTCCTTCTTCCCTCCCTCCTCCTCCTCCTCCTCCTACTATAGGCTCATCCTCTCCAATTTTCGCATTTTGGCTATTTAGTAAGTCCCTTTTTATTTTCCTATCTTTCCTCTCTGACTCCCTCTTATACTAGTAGCCTTCTGCCCTTCTCCTCCTCCTCCTCTCTTAATTTTCGCATTTTTGCCTCTTTTGTAGTTAGTAGTTTACACCTGTTGTAGTAATTACTTGAAATATTACTTGAATTTTCGCATTTTTGGTGTTTTGACTAGAATATAAATGCAAATATAGTGCACTAGAGGAAAAAAATCAAGGTGCCTCCAAATTTTGGCAGTTGAATATATGTGCATAAATGTGCTACTGGCTACACAAGTTGACTATATGTGACTATATGTCCTCTCTATAGAGGGGGGGATTGCTTTAGATCCTATGAGGTCTATAGACACTATATATTCATATATAGTGCTATATGAGCTAATATAGCAATAACCCTTTTTCCTGATGTGCCAATTCCATAGGTATCCCACACACATATTCCTCGACACTCCATTTACCTTCCGAGAGTTTCGCGCACTCGTCCGAGTCATCCGAAGGTCGTTCATTCATTTCCGAGGCCTGTATACAGTCCCGATCCTCCATACCATGTCCCGTCCGTGTCTGTTTGACTTTGCTGGTGCGTTTTTCACTTGGTTATCTGTTATTGATTATGTCTAGGGGCACATATGTTGTCGGCCCATCGGTTACACGTATAACAACACGCCTTGCGCTTTATTACATGCATATCTCTGTAGCGGCTCGCCTCGAGTCTTATTACATTTCGGATGTCTTATCTCGCTACTGGTTTCGCCTACACAGTTTCCAGACTTTCATGCTGTAGGATATAATCTGCCTCGCTAGATACTCGCACTTCACTTCACTTTCCCTGCTATGAGTCATAGTTAGTAGAGTCACTTTCGGATAGTTGTACTTCGCGCAATTGATCCTTGTTCATTCGGAATGATTGTTTTGGCCTGACCACTGCCATTCCACTCTTCGCTGTCTCTAAGTTCCCCCGATAGACTTTGCTTAGTTATACTTCGCGAGTCTTATACTTTGATACACCCGCCGTACTTCTCTCAGAACCTTCACTGTTCATCAGAAGCTCTTCGGATGCTTTGCGCAACCTCAGACCTTCATTTCTAGATGTCGGACCACCTTCGGACCACTTCGGACGAGTACTTTGGTACTTCAGACACATCCTCAGAACACCGAGTGCACTCTTGGTAGCTTTTCCTTCTCTCACCTTCGATCTTAACAAGATATCCCTTGCTTTATATCAAGGAGCATTTCTATAGGCAGTCTCTTTGGGACAAACATCTCACTCACACTCTGAGTCTTAAGGTAACACTTTTGTAGCGCCCACATAGAATCAACTCTTTACAGCGGGAATTCCAGTGGATGTTTGGGAACAAGTGATAAGACTAATCCGGACGAAGTCCAAACTAGAAAGGAAACAGCGGAGGACTACCAAAGGTAGAGGCGGAGGTGGTAAGTCAATAGGAGTTGATCCTAAGACTATCGGAGACAATGAGAGGAGACTCAAGTCGGACAGAGGAGGGAATGAGCAGAATCTAAGATGATATTCGAACTGAGGAAATATGGAGACTTTACAGGGTTTATATACTATGTAGGACATAACAGAGAATCAGTCAGCACAGTGCGAGGCTATGCGAGGCTATGGATGGATCATGTGAAACACCTAACACTAGTGTATCAGAACTTAATAAAATGAAGACAGAAATGAATAAGGTACAGAAAATAAAGCATAGTCGGTTATATGGATAACTGGATGTCCGGAAACAGGGGCTAACTGAGAAGGGACGTACTAAAGGGAAAAGGCACAGAAGATAGAAGCTGGCTGGTGTAGGATGTGAAGAGAGTATGTAAATATATGTAACTTGGTGGGCAATGACATGAATGAAGACCAGCTGTATCATAAGTGCATGAATTCACTGGATTCTGAGCTTTCATATTTTTTTACTTGCATCAGGAAATGTCAGGGTGTAATTGCATAGAATAAAAATATTACCATTGGCAGGTTTGAAACCTGCAAAGTACAAGAGAAACAGATTTTGACTCTGATGATAACTTGACTAAGGCTAATGAAGATCTATGTCTGAGATACTGTCTATGAGCAGATATTCAAGGCATGTTCTTATGGAAAAAATGCGACATTCAACAGGTTTCAAACCTGTTGCATTCCAATAGAAACAGATGTTGATTCTGTTGGGACAACCACTTGGCTAAACACAGCTCTGATGAGCTTGTAAGCAAATTGACCATGAGCATGTGTCAAGGTGTGGTTTCATAAATAAAAAAAGAATTCTATCATTGGCAGGTTTGAAACCTGCATAGTCCAAGAGAAACAGATTTTGACTCTGATAATTTCATCTTTAGCAGGTTTTGAACCCACATGCACAGATTTGAAACAGATTTGGATTCTGTTGCAGCAACTGTTTGACTAACACCGATTAGATCCATCTTGAAAGAAAACATTCGGAAGTGAATCTGCAAGGCGAGTCTACTGTTCCCTGTCACTCGCAATGTTTTTCCTCAGCTGAACAGATAAATTGAATACAAAAGCAAGAGGAGAGCAACATGATGATGAAAGGTCTCAAATACAGTGCACTTCAACCTTATACATAAGTGAATAATGGCTGGATGGCTCTTTTGAATCTCAGCCTTGAAAAATGTGTATTCTTTCTCATTCTCCAGGACATTAGGATCGAACTTGAAAGTTTGATGTGTAATCTGCTCTTCTTCTTCAACCAAGTCCAAGACCTTTGGATAAAATTAAATTGCTCTTGTACTTATTATTCCGAGTTTGCATCAAGACTTTGGTTATATTGAACTTTTAGAGTTTAGTCTACAAGAAAATTAGGTGAGGTGAGGTGAGATGGAAAACACATTTGCACCGCATGACAGTGAGGTGAAAGCTATAGAAACCCCAAAGCATTATTTGAGCCCATTCACAAGTGAATCCTCAAGGTACATTTATCTGCATTTTGTCAGTTCTAACATTAATTTCTAACATCCTCCTTGAGTCCAATCATATGTGATCCTTCCATTGTCGGTTGTCATTCATGAGCCAGTTGTTAATCCAAAAGACATCACAAACATCATTGGCCCACTGTGGTGGTCTGCTATCAGCACTTTTTCAGAGCAATTGCTAGATAAACAGGCCTAAGAATCAATTATGGTGATCATGCTATTGAAAGAACTGCCTTGAGGATTCACTTGTGAATGGGTCCATTGGAAGTGCATCTCACTGGTCTTAGCCAAACAGTTGATACAACAGAATCTAAATCTGTCTGCGTGGGTTCAAAACCTGCTAAAGATGTCATTTTCAAATGATCACCAGAGTCAAAATCTGTTTCTCTTGGAATGCGCGGGTTTGAAACCTGCCAATGGTAAAATTTGTTTTCTATGAAAACGCATCTTGACAATTGTCTCATGAGTGATTTTCTTAAAAACTGATCTCAACTGATGTTAGCCATGTCATTGCCACAATAGATTCAAAATATGTTTCCATTGAAATCTACAGGTTTGAAACCTGTTGAGTGATGCATTTTTTGTATTAGAACATGAACATGTCTTGAATATCTGCTCATAGACAGCATCTCAAATGTTGATCTTCATTGGTCTTAGTCGAGTTGTCACCAGAGTCAAAATCTGTTTCTCTTAAACTATGCAGGTTTGAAACCTACTAATGATAACATTTTTATTTTTATTCTAAACCAAAAACCCAAAAATCTCAGATCCAACGCTTTGGCATTGGACACTGTTTCTCACTCTCAGAATTTTGACCTCACACCCATCAGGATCTGACTGCTGCAAGAAAGCGAACTGAGTGGAGGGATACTATGAAGTGTGCAGAGTGAGGATATGAGAGCCAACAATATGAATGTTAGCATATTCAATCGAGCATGTTGCAATATGAAAAAAAGTGTGTCATCTGATGGGTTTTAATGATGTGGCTAAGACCATCTTTAAATGAGTTTTTGAGAAAACTATCTATGAGAAAATGTTATGATCTGCACGGTTCAAGACAAACAGATTTTGACTCTGGTGGAAACTTGACCAAGACTAATGAAGATCAGTGTCTGAGAGAGTGTCTACGATTCAATATTCAAGACATCATCTTCTAATAGAAAAAATGCAGCATTCAATGGATTTCAAACCATCAAGGTGCATTTTCATAAAATAAAATAAATGTTATCATTGGGAGGTTTCAAACCTGCACAGTCTGAAGAGAAACAGATTTTGACTCTGATGATAACTTGCAATTTTATCTTTAGCAGGTTTTGAACCCACAGAAACAGATTTAGATTCTGTTGTATCAACTGCTCAGCTAAGACCAGTTGGATACACTCCCAATGAATTCATTCATAAGTGAATCCCAGGTGGTTGCCAGAGTCAAAATACATTTCTCTTAAACTAAGCAGGTCTGTAATCTGTATAATGATGTGTATTGAAAGAACTGACAAATTGCAAATAAATGTGCATTGAGGATTCACTTTTGAATGAGTTCATTGGAAGTGCATTCCAACTGGTCTTAGCCAAGCAGTTGATACAACAGAATCTAAATCTGTTTGTGTGGGTTCAAAATATGCTAAAGATAAAATTGCAAGTGATCAACAGACTCAAAATCTTTTTCTCTTGAACCATGACAGGTTTGAAACCTGTCAATGATAAATTCTTTTTTTTTAATAAAAATATGCATTGACATTATTTCTTCATGGAGTTTGAAATCTGTTGAATGTTGCATTTTTGCTATTAGAACATGTCTTAAATATCTGCTCATGGACAGCATCTCAGACATTGATCTTGATAAGGAAATGTCAAGGTGTGATTTCATGGAACAAAAATGTTGTTAGTGGCAGGTTTCAAACTTGCACAGTTCAAGAGAAACAGATTTTGAATCTGGTAATGACTTGACCAAGATCATTGAAGATCAATGTCTGAGATACTGTCTATGATCAAATATTCAAGACATGTTCTTATATGAAAAAATGTGACGTCCCGCAAGTTTCAAACTTGTTGCGCTCCAATGGAAACAGATTTCAATTTGTGATCACAGCCACTTGACCAAACACAACTGTGATTGGCTTGCAAGCAAACCGACCATGAGCAAATTTTAAGGTGTGTTTTCATGGAAAATGAATTGTACCACCAGCAGGTTTCAAACCTGCACAGGTCCAAGAGAAACAGAT